CTTGGCTGTGGCTGAGGGCACCAATGTGTTTCCTGGCTGTGAAATTCAGCTCAGCAGAGAGAGGCCTCTCTGCTGAGTGGGGCTTTGATGTTCAAATAGAAAGGAGGATTAGGATTTGAAGCACGGTTAGTTCTGAGGTGAGGAGAACCTGTTTGCTCTAAGTTAGTTTAGGTATTTCAAGGCAATGCATCAATGTTTAGTTAAGCCTTATGCAGGCATTGGTGGGATGTGATGATTATTGAACTGTTTGAAAACAAATCCTAAAGGAGAAAAATTACCCTGCCTTTGCATTAGCTTGTCTACACCAGGTGTAATTTAACATCAGCAGCTTGGTTCAAACAGACTGGGAATTTGGCTGCCTATACAGTGTGGGCTGTTCAGTTATTTTGTCTTCTGTTGAAGTCCTAAGCAATAATTTCTTATCTGAATAGAGTTATAGGGAATGGGGTGAGGGTAAACAGGAAAAAGACATAATTACGTTGGTTTAAATTCATACCACAGGTCACACCGAAAGATGTTCTTGTGTAAACAAGGCTTGTGTTTGTCCATACAGCTGGGTTCAGCTGTGCCCATTGCTGACATCCATTGTCAGCAACAGATCATTTTTGTAGTATAGCCAAGGCATTAAAACAAAGACAATAATCAGTCTTGTTGCATAGCTTGGTGACAGAGGTGTCATTATACTGATGGACAAAGCAAAGTGGTTTTTTAGCAAGAAGCAGCAAGAATATTAGTTGATGCGAGTGTTTTTCTGTATTTTTGCTGCCAGCTGCTAAAGATTTCCAGTGAATCCATACCATACTTTCACCAGTCTTGAAATAGTTTTCCTTTTTCAACATGACAATTAAAAAAGATTAAAATCAAAACACCTTGGTGAAGCTCTATAAGGTACTGATGGCTTCCTAAAATTGTTGTTTATACTGCTGAGTACTACTGTGGCACAAGTAACACATGTTTAAAAGCCAGTTTTTGTATTTGGGAGACTCCTAGTTTTTTTTGCCAGGTGTGAAGCTCTTAGGTGGGGAGTAGCAGGAGCCTTAGAGCACAAGGTGGGGAGAGTGCTCTCTGGCAGCAGTTTTTGTGGTGACATTCACAGAATAAAGTTGCATTTTATTGCTACTGAGGGAAAATTAAAAGCATGACAACAGCTTTTTGGTGTTGGCAATGGGGTAGACCCAGGAGTCATTGTAATACATGTGCTGTAGTTGTATACCACTTCTTCAAAACTGCATCTCAGTTTGCCACATTCATATGGAGACTGAAAAAAACCCAGCTTATAACACTGTAGGCCCACGGTGCATAACTGAGATTGCAACAGAAACTGGGGAAAAATGATAATCTTTCATTGGACTTTGCAGTTTGATGTGCAAAATGTGGTCTTACCTCTTTACTATTCCTCTGGTGTTACAAGGGGCACATTGCAATACTGTGATTGACCGTAAAGTGTTTAAAAATAATTTCCAGGAAATGGAGAAAGCAGCATATTTTGTATTGCTTCTTTATATTTTCTGATGATTAAATATCCCAACTGGGAAGTGGACTCAAAAAGTACAAGAACTTGCAATGTGTTTGAGCTATACTCCTGTCAAACTGTTGCATGTCTTACTTCTCCAGCAAAGACAGGCATTGACTCTACAGCTCATACTGAGTGGTTGTCATACACCATCTTCCAAGAAGGCTATTGCACCAGCAATTTCCTTAGTGTTATTAGTGCTGGAAATGCAAGAGTGGTTCCATATGAAACAAGAGTTAAGGATGCATCAGTTTAGGATATGATGAGAATACTTTCCAGAGAGTTTGTTCTGGGCAATGACTTCTGCCCAGGGACTTCTGAACTGTGCTGCTTGTGGCTTTATTTTTGTACATGTATGTAAAGCACATCAAACACCTATACTTCAAAATTTTCCAGAAGAAAACACCAAACAAATCATAACAGGCACTTACTGTAGGTTCCATGTTTATCTAGAAAGTCTTTCCCTCTAGCAGTGCTGCCATACCAACTTTCTTCACTGGTTTTAGAGCATGTGTCTGTTGAAGCCAGCTCGGGTAACTTGTTGAGGTATTTATTTACAGTGGAATGTCTTGGGTTCAGTTTTGGTTCTTCTGGTGGAAACCCTACTTTCTGCAGATATTGTCCCTTCCTCTGGATGCTTTTTTGTTTATTGAATGTGACAGATATTTTGCTTAGTGTTTTCTTAGCTTTTATCAGCTTATCTCTGCAGTGATTCCCCACAGTGAGTCAGGAAAACTCAGTGCTTTATTAAAAAACTGTATCATCTTTTAGAATAAGTCTTTGCTCTTAATAAACAATAGTAAACACATGCATGCCCTGTCTTATAGCATGTAAGTCAATTGAAGACAGTTGCAGGATTGAAACATTCTTTTATTGTTTCATTTGAGAACAAAGCAATTTCAGAATTTCAGTATTCAGCTTCAAAAAACTGGTGAAAGTTTCTAGTGAACAAAAGAAAGTATTGTTAAGATGATGATGTTCTCCTTTGCTGTTCTTCTTTGGTTTTCATCATTGCTATATTCTGTAGGAATTTGTTATAGAACAGTATTGAGCCATGAAAAGAGAGAAGTCTTTATCCCTGCCTGCAAGAATAACTGTGTGTTTATATGAGCCTTCCTTATAACAATTCAGAAGTTAATTCTGAGAGTGCTGCTTGGTAACAAAAAAGACTTAAATAAAGCTATCTAAAATTATCAGTTGATTCCAGAACTAGCACCTTTTACAATGTGTTTTTAACTTTTACAGTTCTCTCTGGTAGAGGCATCATTCAAAACTTGTCAATTGCATGAAAATATTCATTAAATTCTTTGTATAACAAAGTTTTCCTTTATAAAAAAAAAGGCAAACAGAAAGTAACCAGAACACACAACCTGTAAAAACAAAATTACTTTAAACTATATTTATTTCACAAGGCTTGATGATTTCAGGAAAGGATTAGCATCCTTGTTTGCAACAACAGTAGAATCTGGATATTTGGATTTGTTTGGCTGTGTTCGCATGATTCGCACTCAAGAGTTACCGATTCTGATACTTCAGATATTTTTAGAGTAACTGGCCTTGCTAAGCACTGCTGGGTTGCTTATTGCTTTTCCTATCACATTGCAAACAAGTAGTTGAAGCCACAGTTTATATAAGCATCACACCTGAAATTAAACCTTCTCCTTGTTAATTTAATGGCTGTCAGCACTTTCTCATCTCTTGTGTTTTCAGTGTGATGAGAACTGTACTGTACTCGGCAGGTTCTGGCACCATAAACAGACTGAATACCTAGCATTCAGAAATGACTGCTTAGTATAGCCTGTGAATAATTTTTGTCTCATACTACAAGGGGAAGAAAAGTAGTAGCTTCAGTAACAAAAGGACTGAACTAATTGAGTAACAAAAATTCAAGCGTTTTAATGGATGTGGGAGGACTGGATTATTAACGGTCGCATTGGAGAAAAACACTGCACCGTCTGTTCCTCTTGAAGCTTATGGCTGTGTGTTTATAATAGCAACCACTTATCCTCAGGCCTGTGTAGCTTGCGTTGGAGAGGAAAACAAAAATCTCCTTGGCCTTCCTCTCCAGTGGCAGGCTACACAAAGCCTGACGCCTCCAGTTTTAGGGTATTTTGTGGCAGGGACTCTGTCTCTGCTCAGAAGGTTGAGTGGTGTCTCCTGCATTGGAGTTGAGAAGCTCTTAGGGCACTGGGCATTGATTGTGATTTGTTGTGTGTTTTCCTCTTTTTGTCACTTAGACATGGTGTTTATACCTCCAGAATCCCAATATAAAAGGCCAGTAAAAGCACCAATGAAAAAATGAAATGATGAGCAGCTGACAGAGCATGTAACCATTTGAGCACTGTTTGTGCAGTCCCACAAGTGTAAAATGGTGAAGTTACTTGCTTCTCCTCCTTTGAGCTAAGCCATGCCTGCTCCAAAAATGCCTCTCTCTTGTAACATTTGGCCCCTTCTCCTTGCCCACCATCCCCACTGCCTTGCATTACTGTGTGGTGGTGCTTTGTCATGTAACTAGCTCTGCCACTGTACTTTATGAAAGGATATTGTAAATAGTATTAGAAAATGCAAGAATTCTGCATTGCAGTGTTGGGCTTGGTTTTGGTTTTGCTTTGTGTTTTTTTTGCTTTGGGTTTTTTTTTAAACTTTTTTTTTTTAATAAAGTCTAATAAATAAGTAAAGCAACAGCTATATCCTAGAGATTTGCTAAGAGGCAGAGTTGCTGTTCCTTGAGGTAGTTGCCTATAGGTCTCTGTGGAAGATGCTAGTTTTATATAGTGCTAGGTGGTAACATTTTTTTAGCCTCTGTCGACCAGGTTTGTTTTGCCTTCCCCTTTCTAGAAAACAGTGTTAAACCCCCAGATACCAGTTTTGGATTTGTCACATTTTTATCACTCTTGGGTGGTCTTCTAATTCATTGAGAAGAGATAGGTGTTCAGTGCTTTGCTGCTGGCGCTGTGATTATTTATTTTTTTTCCTCTCCAATAAGGTATAAATGGGATAACTTTCTTCTGCCATTTTATACCTGCTTTTGACCCTTGAAACCAAGATAGGGTGATGACTGCTATCCCCTCCACTCACTTGGAGGAGGCAATGCAGCAATATAGAAAACTCGTGCACTATGTTTTTGCTGATGTTACTTGTTAAGTAAAGGAGTAAGCTAAAGTTTATGTCAAATATATCTTTTTTTCTGATTGTAAAGTATCACATAACTTCATTGATGAAAATGTATCTATTTCACTTATGAATTTGACAGGCCTTTGTGCTTTCTCTCCTGCTAGCCATCTATGGGCCTGGTTTAAGCACTGAGGCCAAGCAAGAGATCATGGCATAACTTGCAGCAATTATGTAGACTGTGTTAAATCAGCTATAGATGCTGACACTGACTTCTATTGTGCTTAAAAGCTGTTTATCTTGTGCTGGTAGAAGTGAAGGAAATGTTCCTGTTTTATTACAGTATTAACATATTGGTGTTGTACTTGACTTCTAGGTTGCATCACAACGCATAAGCTCAGTGGATCTTTCATGCTGCAGCCTGGAGCACCTGCCTGCCAACCTGTTTTATAGCCAAGACCTCACTCATCTCAATCTAAAGCAGAACTTCCTGAGGCTAAATCCCAGCCCATCCACAAGTAGAGCGCTTAGTGAATTACAAAGGTAAAGTGATATGGTTCTACTGCTCTTCCTCTGCCCTTGCAGCCATGATCTGCAGGAGCTTCCCTAAAAATTACTGCTGCTTGTGGAACATTGGCCTGACTGTAATGCTTCAGAGGTTGGTTAACTTAATGTGTTAGAAACAGACTAGCTTTCATAAGAAACTTAATGCTTTTCTTGTAAATAGAAGGATATTTTCAAACAGAATGCAGTTTTCAGAACATTTCTATCTATCTACTGAAGCCAGACTAGTTTTTCAGCCTTTGACTCACATGAACAAATAAGAGTTGATGAGCTGCCCATCAAAGGGAGCCATTCTAGGTAGGAATAGTATCCTATGTGTCTGAGTGGAGAAGTTTTTTGTTACCCCCCAAGCAAAGAAATCTCTGATTTCATCAATTCAGCCTGGTTCCTGTCCTGTTTTCACTTGGCTCAACCCCAGTTGTTCTTTCCTAGTAACTGTGACCTTCCAGTTGTTCTTTCCACTGCAGCTCCTCTGAGAATGTAACAAATGGGTAGACAGCAGCATGATTGGTGATCAGAATGATTTAATGTATGTGTTCTGTGGAATCAGCAGGCTGTCTGTATTCAAAAAGATGAATGTTTCCGTACTGAATATATAACTGTGATTTTAATTTCAGTGGTAACTGAATTGCACAGTACCTCAGGATTGTGTTTGTGGATGGTCCTGTTCAAACAAAATGTTTTAAACCACATTTCTAAATCCTTTCCTCTTTGAAAAACAACCAAAAGATACAAGATGGATTATGCAGGCTGTTGTATTTTTGTATAATTCTGATTTCGTTCTGGAAAAACAAGCAGTTTGGCATAGTGGAAGATGAATGAACCCAGCAGGTCTGCTTCACAAACAAAGCAGGCAGCGATTCCAAGAGCTTATGAACACAGTCTGGAGAGGAATACTGACTGGATTAAATGTTTTGTGAATGTCAGTATAGGTCTCCAGGTAGCAAGGGGAATTTTAGCATAAGATAGATGGACAAAAAATGGATGTCTTCTGTTTTAATGATTTTTAAAATATTTTTTCCTTTTTAAATATCAGAAAATGAACAGGAGATACTTGATTATATTTTATCCATGTGCAAACACCTAATTCTGTTTGGATTATATTTTGTTCATGCACCTAAAGATAATTCTGTTTGAGATTAGAAAGCATTTATAAATAATATGATGGGCCATGTTCATTCTCTGTTTAATGTTCTCTTCATACTGCAGTTGTAGGAACAGCTGATGAGTCTTGCTGACAATTAATAAACTGTTAAATTTTTTTCTCACTAATGCGAACCTGAACGTATGAGAGTGAAAGAGTTCAGGTGACTGATTCAAACTCTTGTGTTTTCTGAGATTCTGCATGAGGAAAATCTGGAGAAGTGGCATATACCTGAGGTGGTGCAAAACTGATTGCATCTCTTGTTCTTCTGTGAGCTGGTCCTATTCTGTCAGTGAGTAACAGTCTGCCCTGCCCGCATTGCGTTGAGCTTGTCAAGAATGCACAAAGAAGACCTGTGAACTTCTGGAGAGGAAAAAAATATTAGGGAGGCTACATGGCACTGTTTTGGTGGATCAAAGCCAGTACCTCAGGAACTCCTGCCCCTTGGTGCTGGCTTTCCCTTTGCCACTGATGATGTCCTCCAGCCTTATCTTCATCCAGCAGAGGTGGTGTTACCCAGGCAGTGAGTAGCTGGAAGCTGCTGTCACCGTTCCAGTTGTTGCTGTGCCAGTGGAAGGGGCTGTGTGAGGTCCTAG